TAGTAGTAACAAGAAACTAGTAGTAACAAGTGCCACGCTACTAGGAGGAAGTGATTCTCGACCCTGTTGCGACCCCGTGACCAGGATGGGTGACCTTGTGCAGTATGAGAAACCGAAGGCAGTGAAACGGAAGACAGTGATTTAACGCACCTTTTGCTGCCCCAGGAAATAGAAGAGTTTAAGGAGAAGAAGAAAAAGAGACTCGAGGCGCAGCGCGGCGCAGCTGTGAACTGTTTGAACTGTTTGCTGAACGCTTTCGAGGAGAAACGAAAGGAGGAAGATGTGGTATCCAAGAAGGCGACGGTATAGGAAGATACCATAGCAATGCATGGCGTCTTGGAAGATACCATGTCCCTTTTGGTTTGTTTTTCAGGCCAGAATGGACATCAACAAAGGTGAGACGGTCCTTAGTACAGCATCTCACTCAGAGAGTCGGATCAAGAAGGCTACTAGTAACAAAGGGCCTCGCTTCTAGTAACAAGTGCCTTACTAGTAGAAACAAGGATGCTAGTAATTACTAGTAATTAGAGTTACAATTATATACTAGCATCTATGAGGCTACTAGGACCTTTTCGCGCGCGCGCACGGGGGGGTGGGTAGGAGCAAAAGACGCTACTAGGAACTCAGAGAGTGTAATTGGATTCGAAATCTGAAAAACAAGGAGCTTCTTGCTCCTAGTAGTAAGGCAGGACCCCCTAGTAGCGTCCTTTGCTCCTAGTAGTAAGGCCAGGCGCCCCTAGTAGCTTCTTGTTCCTGAACATATTTTTCTTTTTATTCATTCATTTATGATTCATTTATGAATTCATTTTGTTCAAGGATGTGACCGAGATGCAGATCTACCGGCCACGCACAGCCCAGACAAAGGCTGTCTATGAGATGCTTTTAAACCGAGTGGCGCTCAGGAAATCGTAAACACGTTTTTCTCAGCGCGTATTTCTAAGGCGTTTTAAACGTCCTTCTTGTTCTCAGGTTTGCAGCAGCCTCTTGGGGACCAGGCGACAGCCTCTTTTCAGAGCGTCGGTCTAGATGTGTGAAAAGACGAACTAAAAAGATTCATTTATTTCATTTATTTCTGAGCGTGTGCGGGCAGCAAAAGCCAAAACGCGGCCGCCCTTGTTTTCTTGAGCCAAAGTTCGAGGTTGGTTATGCTCAGTGCTCATGACTGAAATGTCAACTTCATGAAAAAAGGTAGAGTGGTGCTTAGGATTTCTCACTCCCCCTGATGTCTTTGACATCATCAGTTCCGCTCACCACTTCAAAGCTTCCGCTGGAGTGCGAGCTTTCGGAGTCATACGGCTTCTCCCGTCGAGCAGCAGTTCGGGTTTCGATGCCAAGCCACAACGGCATCTGGCTCAAATCTTCCTGAGCCAAGTCCTCATCCGCCAAGGAGCGAGCCCAAGCACCAGCATTGGTGTCTGTTTCACCTCTGGATTCATAGCCCTGCAACCTCGCTTGATAGCCGGGGCTCTCACCAATCGGCAGCCCAGGCGCACTCTGCGAGGCTTCCACAGCAGCAGGCATGCAGCGCTGGTCATCCGGCTGCGCAGCCCTTCCCCTCTCCAAGGCTCGAGACCTTAGTGGATGATCTTCACCATACCCACGCAGCCCCGGAGTCACGGAGCGAGGTGGAGGTAGGGGATTAGAAGAACTTGCACCCACCAAACCCTCCTCAGCCTTTGGAGCGAAGCGCACATAGAAAAAACAATAGCCCCTCCATTCGTAGATGCCCGGCAGGTCCGCATTGCGGGAGTTGATCCAATCATCCATGAGCTCCTGCCGTTGCCATGCCTGCCGAGTACTTTGTCGATGAAAGGCCACTGTCACCCTTGTTTGAGACATCCTCTCTATTCGAAATGGCGTCCCCCTATGCAGGGGATGAAATGCTCGAACCCTACTTTTTCGCAGCACCCGAACCCACCATTCGCCAGCACCATCTCCACTGCCAAGGCATTCCCATCGATCATCGCCAGTGGGTGGAGATGCAAATCGGTCCAGCGTCCAAGGAGCGTCCGTGCCCAATCCCCGGTGAGTTACCGAGGAACGCAGCGCACACAAACGCTGCTTCCATGGCTGCACATCGCGCGCGCCCGTGAGGGTGCCAAGTTGGCAAGAGTCGAACGAACAAGCGGTCGACGTCGAATGTGGGGCAGGTTCACTTTCCCTTGCCCATCTTGTTTTCTCTTCAGCCCTACATGGGCCAGGTTCATCTTCCCTTGGCCATCTTATTTCCTCCTCGATCCTACGTGGGCCAGGTTCATCTTCCCTTGGCCATCTTGTTGCTGTTCTTGTGCGGGATTCGTTAAGACCTCTTGTTGGACTGGCCATTCGCCGTCTTGTTCCAGTTCCAAGCTACAAAGGTTGCGACTGCTCCCAACGCAGTCACACATGCCAATCGAGCAAGGCTTCCAGTGCACGGCAACGCCGCAACCATTCCCAATGAGGCCACCGCTCCATACGCCACCTGCTTCATGGCGTCCAGTTTGGATCCCGTTCGAGATTCACACGGGGCAGCAGCATCACGAAGGCCAGCTGATTCTCTGAAGTTCTGCCAGGACTGAAGCTGCGTAATGGATTTTGTAAGCAGGTCGGCGCACAATTCTGCTCCAGGAATGTGCTCCACATCCCATAGTCGATGTTGCAATCTTTCACGAAGGACATGGCTTCTCAGCCTGAGATGTCTTGTCCTCCAGGGGCCGGAGGGAGCCTGAAGCAGTTGTATGCCCGACATGTTGTCTCCCTTGAGTGTGAACGCTCCTTCTCGATCCAGGATGTTGCAGTGAAGCACATTCACCACCGCCCCAACGCTCTCACCCAGGGTGAACCCATCAATGTAGCCCAACAGCTCGCTCTCTGTTGTGCTCAAGGTTGCAAATGCCTGGGCCTTTGACTCCCAAGCCACCAAACATCCTCCCCACATAGCCATGATGCCTTGGTGACCACGGCCTCCAGCGGGTGCAAATGAGGAATCCGTCAACACCTCCAACCGCGACATTGACTGCCGGCGACCATGCTGATCAAGTTCCGATGAACAGGGTCCATACTCCAGTGCCAAGTCTGGGGTTGCAGCCAAGTATCCAATGACATGACGAGCCAACTCCAGAACACCCTTGGGGGATTTTGCGACCCGTGCACCCAGGTAAGCAACAGCAAAACTGAGGTCAGGTCTCGTTCTGGTTGACAGCCATAGCAACTCTCCCACCAGGGTCTGGCATTGTTTCACCTCGTTCGGGTCAATGACATCCTCGGGGTCGAGCTCAATGGCCTTGGGAAGCGGCGAGTACCTCATTGGAAGGTCAGGATGTCTGCTCACAATCTCCCGAGCATAGTCCGGCTGGCCAATCATGAGGTTCGTCCCGCTCCACTTCATTTCCACACCACAAAATTTCTTCCACTCAGCCTGAACCGCCCAGGTCGGTGTAGAGCACTTCCACGTGGATGCCAGCTTCGTCAGGAAAGCCTCAGCAACTGGCTGGGGGCCCATAACAATGAAATCGTCCACGTAGGATAAGGCAAACCCCGATGTTTCACCCTCCTCCATGACATTCACATAGTCCCCCTCTGCACCAGGTGCCGTCATCAACCTCCACACATTTGGCTCTGGCGTCGCGGTCAGCCAATAGTGCACACCTAATTCCCACCACCGCAGGCCACGAAGGATATCATCTCGATATGCCTGCCAGTCCGAGGGAGAGCTGTCCAGCCCATATACCGCCGCCTCAACCACCCACCTGGTATCTGCAGAAATCAATCCAGCTTCAGTCAAAATCGCCGGAGGCTTGGTGACCATGAGTCGCGTTGATTTCCGAGGTGCCAACAAAAAGGCTGATGACACGTCAGTGATCCCTATCGACCACTGTTCATAGGCCGCCTTCCTCAGTGCACACCTCAAGGATCCTCCATCAATGCCGCTGGCATATAGCTCAAAAGATTTGCCAGCCGTAGTGGTCGCCTGCTTTTCCTCCTTCATTGTATGAGAGGGTCCACATCGTCTTGCAGTGTCCTCCACCAGGTTTCCGCATAGGACTATCCTTGATCATTTCCTTCCGTCCGGGGCTTTGATCGTAGGTACCAGTTTTGATGGCACCACCAGCATTTCTTCGTAGCCCGGTTCACGGCAGAGATCCTTGACAGACACCGGTCTGACCGCCTTTGTGGTGCGTTCCAAGGACTTCACCTCATACTCCAGGGACGGGATCCACTCCTTCAGGTCCTTTCTCACTTGTGCCAGAGGGACAGTGTACGTCTGGAGGACTGCGTGGACATTCGACGGTGGCCGCTGCTCCTCTCCAGGGTGTTCTTCAGCTACCCCTTCAACCACTTTGGCCATTTGGCAGCTCAGGTCAAAGTCCCGAATCTCCGTCAGGTCATCTTCCAGAGCCAGAACATTCTTTTCCACATAGTCCATCAGTGCTCTTGTAGTTGTCCTTCTTCCTCACCTACCGCCACATCCTTCAGGAGGTCACTCCACAATTGCTTCCATCCCCAGTGTTCTTCATGCATCCACTTCGTCAACCTGTAGGCTTCCTCAGCCTCACACTCCACAGTGCCGTTCATCTTCTCCGGCCGCTCTAAGGGAGTTTCGCAAAAGTCACAGCAGTTGCGCCCTTTCAACTTCCTCACCGATCCACCCTCCGCACCTTGTAGACCACACTCCTTGCAAACAGAGGAGAAAGAGCAGGACTCCCCCCCAGTCCAGTTGTTTGGCTGGACTGGTTGTTCTCCCCCGGAAGTGGCATGTAGTCGATGAAGTCCAGGATCAGGTGATGACCTTGGAGGCGGGAGCTGTGGCAACATTGGCTCCATCGGTTGTTTCCCCGATAGCCTGTGTGGTGGCTTCCCCGGTTCTGGCACAACTTGAAGTTCTAGAACTGCTCGTTCTGCTGCTGGATCTTGTTGGACCACCACCCTGGCGTGTTGGACCTGCTCGCCCTCCATTAGTACATATCCCTGCGACATGAACGGAGACGGGCCCATAATCGTCATGGTTCTGAAGGGTGGCATCAGGGGACCAAATCCTGCTCTGTGCCATCTTTTAGTTTTCACTGTGACTCTCCCCCCAATCGGCAACAGTGCAGTAGACGGTACACCAAGATGAGCACATTGTCGGCGAAGCCGTTCTTCTCCAACATAGCGTGCAATTCCAGGCCACCACTTCTGATCCAGTCCACTCTCCTTGATGAGCAATCGAAGGCGCCTTTTCACTTGATTCACCTCACACTCAATCCTCCCATTAGACGGCCCTTCATCTCCGCCCGTCATGGTTTGGTAAAGTCCAAATCGCCTGCAAAAGGTCTGGAAGGATCGCGACAGAAAGGCACATTCTCGATCTGTGTGAACCCTGATCATTTGAAGGCCCATAGCTTTGAAGCGACAGAAGATGCGAGTGGCAACCTTGGTGACATCCAACTGCGACCTGCTTTCTAGTGGCTCCACCAGAGTGACATTTTGTACCCCCGCAGGCTCACCCAGGTCCTTGATGTGCTTCTCCCAGTCGCCATTCATTCTTCTCACTTGATCATCATCAGGTTGTGGGCGTTCTTCCCCTTGTTGCTCCTCCTCCAAGGGCAATGGGTCACCATCTTCTCCATCTAGTTCTCGATCTTCTTCATCGTCCGGGGCTTCTCTTGGTAGCCTTGGAATGGCAACTGTTGCAACCAGCAGGTATTTTGCTCTGGTTCCCAGTCCCACATCTTCTCCTTCCGGCATAGGCCCCACGATGTCATAGGAGAGGCAATGAGCAGCTCGATCCCCGCACGTTCTCCGACGAGGTGCATCCATTCCCATCATTTCCATACATCGCCTGCAGTCTCTTCTGTACGGCTGATGCTGATTCTGCACGTGCTTCTTCCACGCTTCCATATCCAACCGCTGCAGGGCATGTTGTCCATCACCATTCGCTGCTTCCAGCGTCCCCAACCTTTGCAAGTACCTCTTCAGGCTGAGTTGGATAGCCGCAACAAGGCCCGGCGCCCATGTTGACCATTCCCGGGATTGG